CACCAACCTGCAGTGTGGCCTCGAGCGGGTCACTTTCCCTCTCTGGAGCTTAGCTTTCCCATCTGTAAAATCAGCAGTCAGCACTTTTTACGTAAAGGGCCAGATAGTGAATATTTTGGGATTAAGATCTCAGTCAAATGTTCTTTGTTTTTTTTTTTTTCACAACCCTTTAAAAATATAAAACCCTATAAAAAAAAAAAAATGGAACCAAGGGCTGGCCCCGTGGCCGAGTGGTTAAGTTCGCGCACTGTGCTTTGGCAGCCCAAGGTTTCGCGGGTTCAGATCCTGGGTGCGGACATGGCACTGCTCATCAGGGCATGCTGAGGCGGCGTCCTACATGCCACAACTAGAAGGACCCACAACTAAAACATATACAACTATGTACTGGGGGGCTTTGGGGAGAAAAAGCAGAAAAAAAAAATGGAACCAGGCCAGAGAGGCCTCCCAGAATGTACCAGAATAAGGCAGAACCACCTCTGCTCCCTGTCCAGCCTCCCAGTTCTCCTTCAGCTCCTTAAAGCAGAGATGCCCCCAGCTTTCTCCTGAGGATTACTGGTCACCTCCCTGCTCTAAACCACTTATTATAATATTGACGTACTTCGATAGCAGGATTAGCAGGGGCCACAGGGCCACCCTGGTGCCTTCCCCTCCCCAGACTTCCCCACAATATGACAACCACACGGGGACAGGTGTTCTGATAAGTCAGTGGCTATGCTGACCCAGCCCTGCACACCACCCCCCCCCAGCCACTAGCACTGCCCTGTACAGGGCCGGGGGTGGGGGTGGCGGGAGGGCATCTGTGTTCTCCTCAGACGCTCAGCTGACCCTGCGTGCCCCTGAGCTTGGCCATGTTCTGTGTTTGTCCTTGTGTGTCAGGTACACCAGTCAGGCCCTCTATGCCACAGCCACCTCGCTGTCTACAGGACTCTTCCGCATGAGAGCATCCATGTGGCTGGCCCTGCCTGGAGCTCACGATGGTCCTGCTTACAGGGCGAATTTTGCGCTGAGTCAGCGAGCTGGGCCAAGACGGCAGGGCAGCAGGCCCAGGCCAGGTGTTCTGGGTGGCCCAGGAAGATGAGCCATCAGCCTCTCCTTTCCACACCTGTCCTGAGGTCAGAACGAACTTGAGTCCAGCAGGGTCCCTGAGCCAGGGAATTTCTGTGACTGCAAAGGCTGGGGCTGCTGAGTCTGGAGGGTCAGAATCCACACAGGTGTCAAGCTGGATAAGCCGATGAGGGGAGCCCCCTGGGCCCCACCTGGCCCACTGTGCCCTGGTAGTCTAGCCTGAAAGAGATGATTAACTACTATATATAGATGAATGTTTCTCTGGATTAACGTCAGTTCAAAAAAACCGTGTTAATTTGGGCCTCACTGTGTCCACTAGGATGCTGGCCAGAGGGCAAGCCTCGCCAAGCTAAGGGGCCTGGAAGTGAAATTGATGGTAGGGGGCTGGTGTCAGGGATGTTGAACCTACTTCAGTGGTTCTTTTCAAGTTGGTTTCTAGCTCGTTTCTGTGATGGGAAGCCAGGCCTGTTCTAAGCAGGGCTAGAGACCTCCAGGAGTGTTGATGTGAGACTTCCAGAAAATTTTCTTTTTTTAAAAAAGTATTTTTTGGTGAGGAAGATTGGCCCTGAGCGGATATCTGTTGCCAGTCTTCCTCTTTTTTTTTTCCCCCAAAGCCTCAGCACACAGTTGTATATCCTAGATGTAAGTCATTCTAGTTCTTCTATGTGGGACACCACCTCAGCATGGCTTGATGAGTGGTGTGTAGTCCACACCCAGGATCAAAAGCAGCGAACTCTGAGCTGCTGAGCGTGCAAACTTCACCACTTGGCCACAGTGTGGCCCCAGAGAAAATTTTCTGAAAAGCTTCATGCCTCTACTCCCAGGAGGGTACTCAGGAATTTGCAAGCTGGGGGAGTGGGAAAAGTAGAGGGAACAGAGGGTGCAAACGCACAGAAGCATGAAGGACTTGTTGACTAGTGTGAGAAGGGTGGGTGCAGGGCAGGCGCTATCGGGGCAGGTAGAGGTCTCATTCATCACTGCCAGAGAGCCCCAATTATCTGGGGCTCAAGGAGGATCAGGGACCACCCTGGGCACCCAGCAGAGCCGCTGGGGCTGGAGGAGACACCCTCCCCTCCAGTCGGCCCTTTCAGCCCCCAGCCCTCCCTGGCCCCTTATCTGGAGAAAAGAGGAACTAGGTGGGGGCGCGGGGCTTTCAGCGAGGCCCGAGGGGCCAGTAGCGCTGCGGCCCTGGCGCTCCTGCCTGGCAGTAATTTGGGCCCCAGAGAAATATTGGCGGCCTCGGCTAACCGAATTATTCTTTCGGTTTGAACCAGCTCCGCGCTTTGACTCAGATCCGGCTGGGCAAGGAAAGCGCTTTCCGAAACCCCCTCCCGCCCGTCTTCCCCCGGCTCCGCGAGCGCACCTCGCCCCCAGGAGCCGGGGCTCGGGCCGCGCCCAGGTGGCAGCGGGTGCCCGGAGCGGGCCGCTCCCTCCCCGCAGGGCCGGGGCCGCTCCTTGCCCGGGCGCCCTCCCGGATCGTGGAGGACCGGGGCGCCGGCTCAGTGCACGCAGCACGTGCTTAACGCACCAAAATAGAAAAAGAAAAATGCTTGGAAAGAATGTGATGTTTCCAAACGAGCATCGAAATCGCCAGTTACGGGAAAAGTCAGTCTCGTGGGACTTCCTTACCCTGATTTAATCGTTCAAAGTTGTTTTTATCTCAAATTACGCGAGGGGGCGGGCACCGGGGTCTTTTTCAGGGTTTAGTGGCCCCCCTCCCGCCCCCGCCGGCCGCGGGGCCCTCAGGCCTCAGTGCTTCTCCAGCGCACCCTAATATTTCCGAGCCCCCATTTCAAATCCCTGGGGCCGCAGGGCCGCCCAGCTGTTATTTTGCAGAATTTCTCTCGCAGCAGCCCACTAGCAGTTCTGCTTATTGCTCCTGCCGCTGACTCACAAGGGGAGGAGGGGATTTCTGAGCTGTTTCAAAACTTAACCAGAATATTAGGGGTTTCATGTAGCCCTTGTTGATAAAGAAAAAAAAAAAAAAGCCCCCAAAGCCAATAAAATATGACACATAGGAACAGAAGGAGGGAAATGGAGTGGGCAGCTGCTTTCCAGGACCAAGGGGCCCATCTGCAGTGTTGGAGCTGGACCTGGGACCCAGGTTTCCTGTCTCCCTCCCCCAGTCAAGCTGTCCCCGGGCCTGCCTTCGCTCTGCCCTGGGCTGTGGATGAGAGCGGGTGTTGACGGAGCGCTTTCTCCTGCCAGGCGCGGTTCTAAGCCCTTTATGAGAAATGGTTCATGGAGGGCGCAGAACCGCACTGAGAGGCGTGAGGGCTGTTATCATGCCATCCTCACTTTACAGATGAGGAAACTGAACGTGAAGAACGCAACTGATTTGGGGCACTTGTCTTCTTATGGAGAAAGATGCCCGTCACTTGCCCGCTTTGCCAAGGCAGATTCTGCTCAGCCACAAGCGGGCCTCAGACTCACTGGAGTGAGGCTACTGGGTGCCTGGAACCTCCTCTTGTGGAGACCAGTGGGTCAGGCTTGGGGCTCTGAGCTCCTGAGGGGGCTGAGGACCACTGCCCTGAGTGACGTCCACAGCCCCAGATCCTGCTCCCGGGCCCCATCTAGGTCCAGCAGCAGGTGACCCAGGGTGGCGCTCTGATCTGAGCTGCCAGCCTGGGGCCAGAGGGATGGAGTGACCACCACCTCTGCAGTTACCCAGCCCTGCGAGTCCAGGAAGGAGGGAGCACGTGTGACCTCAAGGCTAAAATATCGTAGAATATCCTGCCCTTAAAAATTAGGAAGCGCTGCCCTGGGGAAGGACGAGATGCCCCGTGGTGATGTGGGGAGGCATGGGAGGAGATGGAAATAGGTATCCTGCCCCTTCTTCCTTCATTCCTCTCCTTCATTCCCCTTCCATGGATCGTCATTGAGCACCTGCCATGCATCCACCCTCTGGGGCTCACTTTCTCCTCTTCCTTCCCAACTCCTTTATTCACCAACTCTCAGGTCTCCTGAACCTACTGTGGGACCTCAGACATCCGGCTCCTCTGAACATTGGGCTCCTCTCTGGAAGGGCAGTGGCCTGGGTGCTGTGGCCCTGCCAGCAGCATGGTACAGGCCAATAGGAAGGACCTGTCCCATGATGGCGTGGGACTGACCATAGGAGCCCCAGTGTGACAAATGTCACAGCAGAGGTGTATGCTGGGAGCGCTGGAGGGGATGTGGATGCCTGCTTCAGGCGGAGCATTGAAGGATGAGCAGAAGTTTGCTAGGTGGACATGGCGGGACCTGCAGAGCTAGGGAAGGGGGCTCAGGCAGAGAGGGAACAGCACATGCAAACATTTGATGTCAGGAATAGGGCATGGGGCACTGGGGAGACAGTCCTCCTAGTGTGGCTGTATTGCCAGATTTTCCAGGTAGGGGTGGATGCCAAGCCACCGCCATGCCCAAGAGCAGTCCTTACCCCAGGCCCAACACCCAGAGAGGCCAGCTGCATGCAGCCCTCTGCCTTCAGCTGTGTCCAGTACCACCCAGGCAGGTCCAGAAGAGCCTGCCGAGGCCAACACAGGGAGGGAAGGCAGTTGTAACAAAGCAAAATCCAAAATCCAGAAAGAAGCAGGCCAGCCCTATGGCTGAAGAAACCAAGGCACAGGTAGGCAGTTGGGGAGAGGCAGGGGATGCTGGACAACCATCTATCCCCTTCAGGGTGTCCAAGGTAGGCCAAGGTGGTGCCCCAGATGGGGAGAAGGAAGCCGTAGGGGCTGCGGGCTCTCCAGTGAGTTCTAGTTGAGTACGTACATATGTATGTGTGTTCCCAGTGTGAGGTATGGGCTCCTCTGCACGCAGGATGCACATGCAAATGCACAGGTGTGTGTACACAGATTTGCAGACATGCTCCAGAAAGGATGTGCAGTGGGCGTGGGGAGAATTCAAGCCCTTGGTTGGCAGACTAGGAAGGAAGGAGAGCCTGGGGTGGAGACAAGACCATTTAGACCCGAGTTCCGCTGGGGTCCTCCCTACCAGGTGCCGTTTCAAACAAACATTGTTGGGGAAGGCAGGAAGCGAGCGCAGGCCCCCCGGTGGCAGTCGCACGGTGGATAATACCCAGATGACGAAATCAGAGGCCTGGCCTTCAGGTAAGGGAGTGGGAGTGGGGACAGGTGTGGGGAGAGCGTGAAACCTCTAAGGGATCTTGAGTTCTTGGAGCCAGGGGGCCCCAGACAACTCCTGGGCTGGAAGCTTTAGTTTTGATGTCAGTAAAGTCCCATGAGTTCGTCTGGGGAGCAGGAATTAGAGCACTGCCCCCCCCCGAAGCCTGGGTTTCCAGGATTGAAAGGGTTGAGGGGCCCACTCAGGTTGGAGATGAATCACTTACCTTACCCACAATTCCTCTCGCCATCCTGGCCAGACCCTAAGACCCTGGGACTTTGAAGCCACGACCTGAAAACCTGGAAAACTGGATCAGGCAGGGAGTCTCAAAGCTAACCTAGGTCACCAAGGCCAGGGTCTGGGGCCTCAGCCTGGCCTCCCCTGGGGCACACACAGGACAGGGCTGTGCAGACGGGCCAGCTGTGCAGCCAGGGCTCCGTCCTGTGGTGTAGGAGGATGCCTGCTGTGCTAAGAGATGGTCAGGTCCCTGAGGGTTTATTTAAGTATTATGCCTTTCCTCTTTTCTTGCGCAGGCTCAGAAGCACACCAAGTCTGCTCCGTTGGAGGCTGCCAGAGGATACCCCTGACACAACAGAGTGATCAGTTGTGGAAGGGCTGTGTTATTTCTAACCCTCACACTAATTTTGCAAGATAGGTATTGCTAAGCCCATTCTACACGTGGGGAAATTGAGGATTAGAGATGGGGAGGAACTCATGCAAGGTCACCTGTCAGCGAGGGTGCAGGGTTGGAAGCAGCTGGCCTGGCTCCGGGGTGGGGGGTCTTCTTCCAGCGGACTGGCTGAAGGCCAGTACTGCCTCCTGGGGAAGCTGTGAACCTATCTGTGCTTGCCTCTGCCCTTTGGTAAAAAGGGAATTTAAAATGTACCTAACATTGCAAGATTGGATGTGTGTAAAGAGCTTAGAGCTGCGAAGGCCACCTCAAGCACTTAGTCACTGTTTCCTTTGCTGCCTAGGGGACCAGTGGGGGAAGCCAGTGGGAAGTCTCTGGGCCCCAGGGGACCGACCTGGCAAGGGTCTAGGTTAGGACCACCGGGAGTGGGATGGTACCTGTGTCCAGCTCACGGCTGGGGCTGGGACCCATCTCGCGGCTAAGAGGGCAGGCTCCAGAGGCGGACAGGCTGCTTCTTGATCAGCTCGCCCTCCCCGATTCCTCACAGGCCTGCCCTCAGGACACCGAAGCTGCGCTGGTGGCCACCCGTCCCCCGACGACTTTTCTGCAAGTCTAGAGGGAAATCGGCACCTCCCAGGAGGTTTGGGGCCCCTCTCTCCTCTCTAAGTGTCCCCAGGCCGTTCCCCAGCCCTTCGCTCTGACAGCGGGCCCGCAGCTGTCCAGATACTGCCTCTGGAATACGGGAGAAAGCGGGGACACTGAATAAAAGGGAACCCCAGCCCCGCCTGGCCTAGTCCCCTCTGTCTCATTCACCTCACAAGGCCGCCCCCACGGAGGACACCGATTCTCCGGAGAGGAGGCAGCCCCAAACTGTCCCCGGAGCCCTGAACAACGAGGTAAACTGAGGCGAGCTGTGGCGGGCCCCATCCCAGGGCCCAGCCCCGCCCCCGGCAGGGCCGAGCGCGCCCGCCGCGCCCCCTCGTGGCTGCGCGCCCGCCGGGTCCCCGGAGCCCGCCTCGCCCCTGATGTAAGCTGATATTTTAATTCTCTTACAAGGAATGGTGTTTAGAGAAATGACTTAACCGGATTACTCATCGTCTATAATGACTTGGCCTGACTCCGAGGCTATTCCTAGACGTGACGCTTGAGGCTTTGATTCTTTCTCTCTTTTCTTTTTCTATCTTTTTTTTTTAATACCAAGAAATGACAGCCTTGTGCCCGCGGCGGCCCCACCCCTCGCACCCCTCCCCCCCTCGCACGGCATCCTGGGAGACGTAGTTCTTTCCGGGCCCGGGCACCTCCTCCCCCATCCCCCCATCCCCCGGGGGCCCGGGGAATGTCGGCACGGTGCGGGCGTCGGGCGGGGTCGAGCGCGACAAAAGGGTCCCGCGTGTGATAAACCCTAGGGCAGAAAACCTGGTGGTGGGGTCTTGGGACAAGTCACTTAATCTCTGCAGGCTTCGGTTTACTCATCTGTCAAATGGGAGACAGCCGTACACAGACCCCACGATTTAAAAAAGCCTTTGTCCAGTGCGTTTGTACTGATCTCCAGTCTAGACTTACCACTTCGTGTAACAAAGTGACACAAAGAACCAGGCTTTAGTTATCCAAGTACCCAGGGCTTAACAGGGACCTGGCTCACAGCGGCCTTTCCTACCTCCTTGCTGTTTGCGGAGAAGCACTTACTCTGTGCTTCTCAGTGTCGTCGGCTGTAATAAGGGCATAAATCTGGCGCCCGCTTCATAGGGCTGGGGGACACTAAGCGAAATGATCCTGGAAACACGCCGGGTGAGTGTCTGAGAGAGTCAACACTGGTGTCAAAGGCGTCTTCGCCCCTCCCAGCACCAGCCTTGGCTCAGTCACTGAGGAAGGAATGGCTGATTCTCTGAAGCCAATGAGGCTGCACCTTCAGGGGCACAAGGTCAGAGCTTTGTTCTGGTCGCGACTATGCCTCCAGTGTCTTGGCCAGAGCTAGCATACAGTACGACCACGACGACTGTCCGAGGAATGAATAACTGAGCATTACCCCTGCTGGCCGAGGGACCTGAGGCTCTGAGAGGTCAAGTGACTTGTACACGGCCACACAGCTGGGCTGTCTGAGTGGGGATGAAAACCCAGGTTTTCTCTCCTTGTCCCCCCCCCCCCCCCCAACACACACACACACAAGGGAATTCGACTTTCACCCTTCAGGCTCAGGAAGTGCAGAATCTCGGTTTCCACCCTGCTGGGACGTTGGTGGGAGGGGCGCCCTGCCTGGGCCCTGCCCAACAAAGGAAGTTGTTCCAGATTCAGCGGGAGGGAGGGCTGGGGGGGAGTTGGAGGGAGACAGCCAGGTGTGGACAAATCGGGGAGCTCGTTTTCACCTGCCCTGGGCAAAGTGGCCAATGCTGCTCGGGCAGGCAGGCGGGCAGCGGGGCCCTTGGCGATCTTGACTGGGTCCCTATCCCAGGGCCACGCCTCTCCACTCCCTCACCCCCAGCAGTTCCCCAAAGGCCGAAAGCTATTCTTGGCTTTTTCTAAAAGAGGCATTTGAAGCCATGAGCCAATTTTTTCCATTCCTGAGCTTGGGTATCGTCTATTTCGGGCATTTGTTGTTTTCCATGAGTTGCGAATGCCACTGTGAAGCCGGCCTTTCCTGGACAGCTAGCACGAGGGAGCCAGGCAGGAGCAAGGCGGGGCCAGCAGTTAAAAATACTTCCCGCTTCATTTCTCCTTTGAAAACAAAGCCCTGGGGGCCTTTTGCAACTGCTGAGCCTGGGAACGGAGCTTCCTAGGCAGAAAACTGGCCGTGCGTGGTTTCCTGAGTGTGGTGGATGGGTTTGTGAGTCCCAGTGGGAGTCCCAGAAGAAGCGTCACTGACTTGCTGTGTGACCTCGGGCAACTCACTTAACATCTCTGGTCCTTGTGGCCTTCTCGCTAAAATGAGGCCAGGTGAACAGAAGATCTCCAATGGTCCCTCCAGCTCTGAAAGCTCCAGGGTGAGAACCATCCCAGAGCCAGGTTTTCTTCCTAGTGTTGGGCTGGCAAGGGGTGCTAGGACATGGAGGCAGGCGTTAGGAGAAGACAGCGTTTAGCTCAGTCTCTGGGAAGAGTTTGCGAGGTTCCAAGCCCTGACAGTGGTCTTAGGGGGTCCAGAACGTTCTCAGAGGATTCATGTAATTACAAAAAGATTAAGCACCGTGGGGGCCAGCCCCGTGGCCGAGTGTTTAAGTTTGCCCGCTCTGCTTCGGTGGCCCAGGGTTTCGCCAGTTGAGATTCTGGGTGCAGACATGGCACCGCTCATCAAGCCACGCTGAGGCTGCTTCCCACATAGCACAGCCAGAAGGACCTACAACTAGAATATACAACTATGTACTGGGGGGCTTTGGGGAGAAGAAGAAGGAAAAAAAAAAAAGATTAAGCACCGTCTAGAGGGGCTTAAATGAAAACACTGGTAGATCCACACCAAGGCACGCAGCCTTGCAGATATGAGAGAGAAGCAGGTCTGTGTTCTGACAGAGAGGGCTTTCCGAGATAGAGTCTTGGACAAAAAACCAAGCTGCAGAATGGGAAAAATAGAATTATATCATTCACTAGAAAACACGTAAAACAAAGTTGCATATTTTTCTATAAGATGGATACATATATTTATGAAAACACATAGGGAAAGTTCTGGCAGGGAGGAGCTGAATTTGGAGTGGTGTCAGAGAGGACTGATTTATTTGTAATGTTTTGACAGGAAGAATGCATTTATTAGTGGCGATGTTTGTGCTATTGAGACACAGCGAGACACGAAGACGTTGAGGGGCGAGGCCGACTCCTCTCAGGCTGTCCTGGGCTGGGATCCCATGGTTGGAGGGTGCAGGAGGAGGGTGGCTGTGGGTGGAGGCGTGGAGGTGTGTGAGATAGAATCTTGAGCAATGGAAGTGTTTATGCTTTTAGGGAGGCAAATGGAGATGTCCGTCCTCTGCAAGATTTATTAGCCGTTGTAAATTTACTTTCTACTGCAAACAGTTGCCTCAGGAGGCAATTAAATTTAGATCATATTGTTCCCAGGTTGGCACCGGCAGGTGTTGACTTGCTGAAGCTTTGCACAACAGCTACTGTCTGTAAGCGTGTGCTCGGCTGCCTGGATGGCAGAATAACCCTAGAACCCTACCCCGTGGTGGAAAGAGCAGCTGCTTTGTAAGGTAATGAGTTCCTTGGTCAGAAGAGGCATCCAATCCAGGAGGGAGGGGTTAGCCTGGACTGTGACCCTGAGGGCAGTGTCCTGGTGTCCATCCCAAATCTTAGGCAATCAATCCTTACTGGTGGGACTAGAAGCCCATTAAGCTTCCTGATGGCATTCCTTTGTGGTGTCTGCCACCACAGCCTCAGTTCTCCTGGAGAGCTTGTCAACTGGGAAGTGGGGTGCACTATTACAATCACCATTGTGACGATTGTTCTCGGTAGTTACTAAATATTGTCCATGATGTGTCTGCTACCAAATCTACAGGCACTGACTCGCACAGACCAACCGATCGTGAGGCGGACAAGGGAGATCACAGTGCTGTCTGCTCTGGGCTGGGCCTGGAGCGATCTTCCATCCCCGGGCCAAAAGGTAAGGGCCAGAGTTTCAAGGTCACCAACCTGCAGCCCTGGTCCATTTGCTTAGGATGATGGGTGGGCAGTAATGGGTACGAACAGGTTTGCTGGGTCCCTGTGTATGAGGGCTCCTCAACCATGTATATTTCCAGTCCGTTTCTCCCTCCTGGATTCCAGGCCTCAGTTCCAGCTCCTGGCTGGACATCTTGCTGGCCCACCACTTCCTCACCAGTGCTCATGTCTTCCCCCTTCCGCTCTCTCCTCTTCAGGCCATGGTCCCTATTCTCTTAGCAGCACTGCCAAGAGATGGCTGAGGGGAATGGTTGAGGAGGCCTGTTCTGGAGCGCCACCACTTACCAGCTGTGTTACTTGAACTAATGAACCTCCTAGAACCTCACTTTTACCCGATAAAATGAGGACCATGATGATGTGAAATGCATAGACCCATTGTATTAAAACTAATCAACAAAAAATCGTGAATGGCTCCTACGTGTTAGGAACAAAGTTCAAGTCCTAGCTAGCCACATGCTGAGACCTTAGGCTCTTTTTCCAAATTGCGATAAAATATACAGAACATAAAGTTTACCATCTTAACCATTTTTAAGTGTACAGTTCAGTGGCATTAAGTGCATTCACAATGTTGTGCAACTATCACCACCATCCATCTCCCGGACTTTTTCATCTTGCAAAACTGAAACTCTGTACTTATTAAACACTAACTCTGCATTTCCCCATCCCCCCAGCTCCTGGCAACCATTCTATTATTTGTCTCTGTGAATTTGAGTCTAAGTACCTTGTGTAAGTGGAATCCTACAGTATTTGCCCTTTTCTGTCTCGTTTATTTCACTTAGCGTAATGTCTTAGAGGTTTATCCACATTGTAGCATGTGTCAGAATTGCCTTCCTTTTTAAGGCTGAGTAATAGTCCATTGTAGGTACGACCACAGTTTATTCACTCATCCCTCAAGTGTCACTGGGTTGCTTCCACCTTTTGACTATTGTGAATAATCCTGCGAGACTTTGGGCTCTCAAAGCGAGCCTCAGTGTCCTTCCCTGTGACCTGCGCAGGACGGGGTTACTCCTCCCTCCTGTGGAAGCCCTGCTGTCGCAGCTGGCTCAGCGTCTCCTCCGGCCCCCACTCCATCCTAAGCCTGACCCTTAGCTCCCTCCGCGGGGGTCATGCCCCCTCTTTGGACTCCTCACTCTGTAGCTGACACTCTCTTGGTGACACATGTGGACATTGGCCACCACCGGCAGGCTTCCTATCACAGGCATTTCTGGGACTCCATAGAGCTTTTGCCAAGGACTTGCTAGTTTGGACTGAATCCTTGTTTAGCTCACACCAACCACCTCTACTTCTATGTTGGGCGGGGCCGGAGTTGGGAAGTGCCCACGATCCCCTTCAAGTCAAAATCAGAAGCGCTTTGCTCACCCAACCCAGCCCCCAGTGCCCTACGGGCAGCGCGGGATTTTTCCAAGACTCTGCTTGTGCCTCTGGAGGCAGTGATTCCTGGGTGTCCTGCCTCCTCCTCTAGGGGAGGAGCCTACTCAGGTGCCCTGGTCTTTGATCCTGGACGGGGGTGGGGGAGTGAGGGGGGCGCACACTACAACTCCCAGAGTTCCCCGGGCTCGGGGGGCGGGCCCTGCCCCCTCGCAGAGGCCTGAGACCCACCAACCGGAGCCCAGAGCGGGGCGAGGGCGGCGCCCGGGCGGGGCGGGGCGGGGCCGCGGGGAGGCGGCGGGCGAGCGGCGCCGCGGGCCAGTCGCGCGGAGAGCGCGGGGACGGCGGAGCGGCGCGCGTGGAGGGGCTCGGGCGGGCGCCGCGGGACCTCGCCGGGCCATGGGTAAGCGGCTCTGCGCTCGTCCCGGGACGGGGCGGACGGCTCCGGGGGAGCGCGAGGCGGCGGCTCCAGGTGTCCCCCGGCCCGCGTGGCCGTCGGTGCCGCCTCGGGGGGCGCAGCGGGGGCGGCGGTGGGGTCGGGGCGAGGGCGCGGGGACCCAGCCCGGCCCGCGGCGCCCGCGCCCTCCGCCCTGCGCGGGAGGGGTGAGGCCGGCTGTCGGCGCGTGCTCTTCGAAAAAAGGAAAGACAAAAAGTTCTGGCGGCCAGGGGCTTCCCGGGCGTTTATCTCGAAACTCTTCTCGCCGTCTCTTGACTGAAATTTACCAAGTCCTGTACGGTTCTGTCATCCCACTTCCTGCTGTGGTTTCAATCTCGAGCTGGTCTCAGCTAATTTGTTGTGACAGCTGTCCGCAGCAGTTTCTCCGCGCCCAGCCCCCCGCCGCCCCCACCCCCACCGTCCCGGCCCCGGCTTCTCAGAACCCGCCGGCGCCGCCGAGAAGAGGCTCCGGGGTCCGCGGGGCGCGCGGGGCGCTTTCCACTGCGGCCGCCGTTTCCTGAAAGTGACTCTGCGCGGGTTTTGAAGAACTTGCTCAATACACTTTGAAGAATCCACTGTTCCTCTTTCAGTAGAGGGGTGTGCTGATGCTCCGGCGGTTACCTGCTGCTTGCCCCCTACCCTTTCTCGTCGCTCTTCCCTTTTTTCTTTTCTCCTCTGGTGTCTCTTCTTGTCCCCTGTCCGCCCTCCTCTGCCCCCCCGCAGGAAAGACGTAGCTTCCCTCTTTGCTCTCCTTTCTTCAGTCTCTGCTCCTCTCTCCCCTCCGGGCTCCAGAAGGGAAGTGATGGGGGAAAGAGAGAGGAGAAGCGGAGGCTGCGAGCGTTTGGCTGCGCAGAGATGTTTGGCTGCGGGGCGCAGCCGGGTGGCCGCATCTCGGTCCCTCCGCAGAGTGTCCAGGGGGCGCCGCCGGGCGGGGCTGACGTCCCCCAGCCGCGCCGACGCGCGGGGAAGTGGGGGGTCGCCGGACCCCCAAGGGCTCGGCGTGCGGATCCGAAGGCACTGCGCTGGCCTGGCCCAGCGTCCCTTTGTTTGCGGGATCGTCAGCGGGCGAGGAGGGGTCCGCGGGGAGGATAACAGGTGCTTCTTGTCCTCTCCCGAGCACCACTGTTGAGGGCATCGGAGTCTCTGCACCTGCAGTCCGCCCTAGGGCAGAGGAGGGATGGGAGATGGCTGCTAGAGGGTCGGACCCCCGGAGTGGAGTTCCAGAGTCCATCCGAGCCCTGGGGACCCGTCTGGGGCCTAGAACTTGGAGTAGCAGAGGTAGAAAGGACCTCAGACAATCAGCCGCTCCGTCTTTGATTCACAGTCTGAGAAACTGAGGCTTAGAGACCAGTCGTGGTCTGGCCGTGAGGGAGGAGCAGGCCTCCAAGACCCCGCCCCCTCCCTTCCCCTTGGTCTCCTCTTTTCCGGGTGGGAAACTGGCCTGGGATGCCCCACAGTCCCCCTTAGGCCCTGGGCCCACAGGCTTGGAGAGCCACCCTGGGGGGCCCTAGAAGGGGAGTGGTAAAGGGGAGAGGCAGAGGAGTGCCCCATGGGGGGTCAGGCAGCCTTCCTCCGGTCCTGGCTGTGCCTCTACTGTTGGCCACATCTTGGACAAGTCGCTTAAAGCCTCTGAGCCTGGTTTCTCTGTAGGTGGAATGGGAACGTGAAGTGTAATTGATGGGGACATAGGAAACTGTGCATAGATGGAGCTGTTACTGTTATCATCAAAATCACCCAGACTTGGAAGAGGACAGTGGGGCTTCAGCCCCGTCCTGCAATAGGGTCTTTTAGGACATCGCAGAGCTGGCTAAAGAGGGCCAGGGGTCCCAGTGGGGCTTGGTAGTCTCCCATTTGGTACCCCCATGCCCCCTACATTTCTGTACTCTCTCAAGGCTGTCATCCTGGCCCCAGCTCCTCCCAGACCCTGCCCCCCGGCCCCCAGTCTGAGACACTGAGGCAAGGCTGTTGCAGGAGCTGCACCCTGTGCCTCAAGGGTCCCATGTCCAGCTCCGAGGTCCTCAGTGCTGGCTGGAGCGCAGCCCTTGGCAGGTCCTCCTCCTCACACCACCCACTGGAGCAAACTCCGCATGCAGACTCCGCCAGGCAGCCGGCTCCTGGGCCACGAAGTGGACTGGCCGCTTCAAAGGCTGTCTTTGTTTCGGCTCCAGCTCAAGCTAAGAGAAACTTAAGCCAACAACCTCAGGCGAGGGGGTGGGGCCATGTCTGCTGGTTGTTATTGAGGCTGCTGTTACCATTATTGTCGTAATTGACACAGTGCTCCCAGTGGGTGACTTTTCATGAAAGGAAGTGTCGCTTCCTTCCCATCACACCAAGGGTGAATGGGGCGGGGCAGGCAGAGAGAAAGAGAGAGAGAGATAAGTGGGGCAGGCAGAGAGAAAGAGAAGTGGTGCAGCCTGGCACTGGGTTACTGACAGGCTGGGTGGCCTTGAACTAGTCACAGCTCAAGCTCCTCTAAGGGCATCAGGAGTATCTGAGATCAAGGGGCTTGTCCTGCATCCACGTGGCTGATGTTTATGGAGCACCTGTTCTGTGCCATACACTGCTCTGTGGGCAGTGAGCAGGACAGGCAGACCTCAGATCTCACCCAGGGATGTGTGTGCGTGCACATACACACAAACATTCAGCTGTGTTTTCCGGGGGAAGCCTCGTTTCTCACTTTGTTCTGCTTAGAACATTGGGCCCACGGATTCTAGCACACTCACCTTATAGATGGGAGAACTGAGGTACAGAAGTGGTGACTGACTTGGTAAAAGATGCACCTTTATGATGTCAGAGCCCCCTTCCCCGTCTCTCCTCCTGCCCATTCTCCCCGATTTCAGCCTGTCATCTGGTATGTCAGGGGCAGGCTCTTGTTAGCCGATTAACTGGAGTGATGTGACAGGAGACTGCAGATCCACTCCGGGAAAGTAGGCATGGTTAAGGAACTTGGGGTCTCCCTGTTCCCATTAAAAAAATGCTCTAGATCTCAGGGTCACCATCTTGAGTGTCTAGGGACAGACTGTTCTGGTTCTGAATCCCAGCTTTGCCACTAATAAGCTGTGTGACCTCAGGCAAGTTACTGAACATCTCGGAGCCTCAGGTATTGTATCTGTTAAAGGGGGAAATAATACCCACTGGGTGGCTGGAAGCTTCGGTGAGTCAGTGTATGAAGACGCCTAGTCCAAGTCCTGGCAGAGCCCTGGTCTGATTTGGAATGTATCGTGCTTTCGGAAAGGGAAGGAGCGTGGTGGCAGAAGAAGTGGTCTGCAGGGAGCATCCTCTTTTGCAGTCAGTGACTGAAACTAACCTCTTCACTGCTGTGGTTTTAGGATCTGGGGGTTAAGCTTGACTTGGACATGAGTCATGGAGTTGAATAGAAATCAGATGCCTAACACAGGAAGGGCCTTGAGCAACCCCTGCCACGCCCACTGCCTGCACAGTGACGGACTGGGCACAGGGGCCCAGGGTTCATCTCCTGGCCCAGGCACCAGCCTCCCCCTGTCCTCTTCCCAACAGTGAAATGAGGAAATGGCAGAGGCTGTGGGGCGAAGTCCTCCGGTCAGCTCTCAAGGCTTTTCTCACACTGTTGTCCAGCTGCACCAAACACAAGGATAAACTCAACAGGAAACACACCAGGCCTTTAAGAAGGAACACTGGGGACTGCAGAGGGAGACCTGAGTGTGGAGACACGGGCTTCTGAAAAGGAAGAGGCAATGTCAGAAAGGGTGATTTCTCGTAACTTTTAAGTTTAAAGGCACTTCCATCAAAACCCCAGTGGGTTTTGGTGTTGTGTGTCTCTGTGTTTTTTAAAAGGGAATGTGACAAAATTATCCTAAAGTTCAGATGGGATTTTTTAAACAGAAGAGTAATGATGGGGGACTTGCCTTCCGGATAGTGAGTTGTTTTACAAAGCTACAAAGATTAAAACGGTGCACGGGGCCCAGCATTCCCCAGTGAACGAAACAGAATAGAAAGTCCAAAACCAGTCCCAAATATGTCCCTTATAAGCCTTTAGATTGTGAGAAAAGTAGCATTTCAAATTATGGGGGGAGGGGTCACTCAGTCAATACCGAGACCGCCTAACCATTGGAGGGGACGTGGTTAGATCTCCATCTCACACCTTATAGATTCCAGATGTGTTAAAAGTAAACAATGAAACGATAATCACCGTTATTGTCATTATTGCTTCCTGGATGGAAAAAGCAATGTCTGAATGACATTCCTCTGGAGAGCAGAGGTTTTCTTTCTGTAATCGAGCCCACCTCCTCTGAATGGACACCTAAGGCGTTGCGCTCAGAGGGGATCTACACCCACAAGCTCGGAGCAAGAGAGTTGCTCAGTGGCTCCTGGCCAGCAGCAGTCACTCAGGGGCAGGGGGTTCTCCTGCCTCTGCAGGCTGGATGTGGCTGGGGGCCTGGAATGGCCGGTCCATAAGCCCCTTCCCTCCCCTGCAGAGCCAGGAGAGGGGCCCAGCCCTGCTGCCTGGGACCCCGCTGGGGGAGGTGTGGGAGCTGGGAGCTGGGCAGGTGGGAGGACTGGCCCGTCACCTATGGCAAAGGGTTTCAAACTTGTTTGTTGTAGCAGAACCCTTTTCCCAAGTGGAGAGTTGCCTGGAACCCTGATCTACAAATGGTTGGGGAAGGGAGGGACTGGGGCAGCCAGGGACAGGACTGAGGGCACCCTGGAGGGGGAGGAGTCCTCTCCCACGTCTGAGGCTGCAGAAGTGGGGGCCCATGCTCTTGGGAGAGAATGGAGGCTGGATTCATTTGGGGACTCCGCTGGACACACAGATAAAAAGACTGTTTCCCTCCGTGGCTTTGGTGAGAGCTCTAATCCCTTTCCCATCTGGGGTTAAACAGCTCGGATTGGTGACCTCCTTTCCAGGTAACCTGAGTGCCCAACTCCAGGAGATTGTGGCCCAGGCAGAGCTCACCAGAACTGAGCAGAAGGGACTAGAAATCCTGTAGCCGGTGGCACTTAACCTGGCTGCCCCCTGGGATCCTCCGGGGAGCTTTAAACTCAGATGCTCCTGCAGGACCTTAAATCAGACTTGGGGGGATGGGAGTAGGGGGTGGGGAGACAGGCATCAGTGTCTTTAAAATGTTCCCCACGTGATTGATTCTAAAGGGCTCTGGTCCGACCACCTTATTTCTCTGAGGCCAGAGGGCAGTGACTTGCCAGAGTCACATAGCAGGTTTGCAGGAGGGCTCCAGCAGGAAGCCCCTGTCACAGGAACAGACGGAGAGAGTCCTTTGATGCTGAGGGTCTGAGCCAGCAGGAAGGAAGGGAGAGAGGATGTGAAAGAAGGGAGGGCAGGAGGGGAAAGGAGAAAAGCTGGTGGAAGCAGGTGCTCCCATGACCTGGAAGACTTCAGGAATTCACGGATAGTTAGCAAAGGACTCCTGGGTCTTTTTCTCCTATTTCAGAGAAGGGAAGACCGAGGCACAGAGTTGCCCAAGGACTTGGTTGGAAAGGCATCCGTCTTGGTTATTTCTGGAGGTTGGCCATGTCTCCAATGGTCAGGAGCCAGCCTGAGAGGATGGCCGAGTCGCTTTCTCTTTGACCAGCAGGAGGATTGGTTTCTCCCAGGCCTATTTGGACTCTTCATCAAGGCTTTCAAATGTTGGTGATAGCCACAGCACCGCAGTGGTGGTGAGGCCAGGCCACTGGGCTGGTGTCAGACAGACCTTGTCTTGAATCCTGGTCCCCAGGGAGACAAGCAACTTAACCTCTCTGGCCTCAGTTTCCCCCTCTTTAAAACAGGATCCCTCCTGGGACTAAATGAGAAAATGTACATGAAAGAGCCAGGGACACAGAGCTGAGGACCCACACAGTGTGAGAGGGTAATTGCAGGCATAGTGGCGCTTATGTGAACCACTAAGGGGGCGTATCCAGTGGCCAGAGGTTCTGACATCACGTGCTGGCTCATGTTTATGCGCGTTTATTAGTCTCAAGGAGATTCTCTCTCTGGGATGAAGGGGTAATCGCACAGGTTCCCAGCAGTAAGAGTTTCCTGAGCTGGACCGAACCAGGAGTATGGGACAGTTCATACTAGATTATCACAAAGAAAAAAGGAAAGGAAAGGAGAAAGCAAAGGTGGTCAGGAGGCGTGGATCCCCCTGGCCTCGGACCTGCTGCCAGCCTGCGCGTGGCCCGAAGCAGTTTCCCACAGTTGTGTTTTTGTACTGGTAGAGGTGGTGTGTGTTTGCCACCGTCGGCTCATGGCTGCCCTTAGTAAGCTTGAGCCCGTGGCTCCTCCCTGGCCTCTATGTAGGTGGTTGTGAGACTCGCTCCTTCTCCCTTACCTGGCACCTAGTGTGTGTGGGTGCTGGGAGACCGAGCTGCCAGAAAGCCAGACAAGTGATGGGAGTCGGTCAGGAGGGCTGGAGAGAAGCAGGAGCTTGGCTGGGAGTGGGGAATGGCCTCCCAGAGGAAGCAACTAGTCAGGTGAGCCCTGAAGGGTCACCAGGCCCCTTGCCGGTGGGGGGAACGTGGGGCCTAATTAGGGGCAGTTAGGACTCTGTAGGTGTGCAGGGAAAGGTCGGATGCATCACAGACGGGCACTTACTCTCTTCTCGATTATTCCCGAAGGATCTACGGTGTGTGTAAGCAGCCCCCTGGGGCCCACAAACATGGGAGCCTCAGTAGCTTTCCCGGTTTGGCTGAGCTGCTCTGAAAACTTTCTGCCTGGATGTGGTGCAGGTTTTGGCGACAGGAGTTCCCGAGTGCCACAGCCCCACCTCCAGGCTCCTCTGACTTGACCCCGTGCTGGTTTAGGCTTTCCTTCAAAGGCTTGGGGAGATGGCCTGAACAGAGGAAGGCCAGGCGGCAGGTGTGGCGTGGGCGGGGCCTGGTTGGGGATGAGCAGAGGAGAGGAGTGAGAGCAGAGTCACTCTCAAGGGGGAGCCCACATGTGCTTCTGGGGTCGGCCTGTGTCCAGCGCAGCAGGAGGTGGCGGGGGCGGGGGGGGGTGTTGCGCGGTGTAGAAGACATGCTGCAGAGGAAAGGAAGGAGAGGACTCCCCCCCACCGGGCATCTAGACCTGCCGCCTCTCCCCAGCAGACCTCCTCCCCACCTGCATCTCACGTGTTCTCTCTCTCTCCTTCCTCTCTCCTTCTTTCTCTCCTTGCAGCACCTTCTGTCAAAGGGAAAAGGAAACAGTCAGAGGGGGGTGACCCCCTAGACCCACCTGTGTCCCCTCAACCCGATGGTGAGCAGAGCAAGAGCCAGAGTCCCATCCAGCTGGAGGTGAGTTGAGGGACCCCTGGGGGGCCTTCCCCCCCAGACCCCTGCCTGTGCACAGCCTCCCAGGTGACCTGGGAGACTCCCCAAGCTCTCAGGAGGGAGGTGTGATCTGTACCCCAATCCTGCTGTCCGGGGCCCTGCGTTGGGAGGAGTGGGAGCTGGAAGCTGGCAGGCAGGAGGACTGGCCCGTCGCCTGGGCAGGGCTCCCACACAGTTTTCATAGCAGATCCCTTTTATCAAATGGAGATTACCTGGAGCCTGGTCTGTAGCACAGAGGAAAGCACTCTTCTGTGACGTAAACCAACACGTACTCCCAGCCATGCATCCACACGTATGACGTGGACATCAGAGTCCCTCGGCGAGACCAATGAGGCCGTGCTGCTGAGCGCGGTCTGAGAGGCGAGCCGTGGGTGACATGGCAGAGCGGTCAGCCTTGGCGTCCTTGCGTTTTAGCCATTTGCTTTGGTGGCACAGTCTGACGTGAAAATCCTGATTCTCATAGAAGAGTAGCTGCAAATGGTAACCGTTTTCAACAGTTTGTGCATCATTCAGAGATGAGGACCAGAGGAGCAGGTTCCTTTGAAGAGCAGTGTGAGCGCGCCTGCTCAAACCAGCTGCCTCGGTCCCCCGCAGGTCACAGTGTCATAGGCAACACGTGAGTCTGTGTGTCAGTTATTATCAGAGGTCTTTGATGTTCAAAAACACTGAAATGGGGCTTGAATCGAGTATTTTGGGAACAGATGGCTCTCCGCACGTTCTAGGCCCAGATGGTTCGTGTCCTTCTGGTGTTGGGGGCCTCCCCAGCCAGGACCTGGGAACTGTCTCTTCTCCGAGCCCTCAGCTCCAGCCCAACCGTCCCCTCTGCCCTGAGCCACCAGCCAGATGAACAGCATCAGCAAAAATTGCCTCTCTGGGAGCAGACACCAAAGTCCTGTGCATCTGACGGAAGCGTGATGGGAACCCAGAACAGGGCCTTGCCTCCCTGAATTCAGCTCGCACACTGGCAGGTCAGAGAGGCAGGCCACCGCAGCAAAGGCTTAGTGGACACAGGCCGGCAAAGCGGACCCTCAGTGCCAGAAAGTACCAAGCGCCTTCATTCCTTCAGCTTTGACCACAGGGGCTGCTGGGAGGCCTGCTGCCAGAAGCTCAGGCTGAGGAGCGAAGATACAGGTGTAACAAATCTAGAGCGAGCTAAAGAAGTGATCTGTGCCTGGAGAGAGGCTTGGAGAAGCTGTGGGGCTGCTCCTAGGGCCATCCCTGGAGCCAGGCTTCTGTGGACTCTGCCCTGGGGTCCTGGGCCCTAGTAGCTGACAACTGCGCCTTTCTGATGCCGGGGACACTCACTTCAGCCCAGAGCAGTAGGCTGGGTGCTGGGGGCCTGCTCCCTCCTGTGGGAGCCTGGGGTTGGGAGCCAGGCATGTCATTCTTCTCCGGCAGCCAGTGGTTCCGCCTGTCCCCAGCCACCCACCAACTGGGGGCTCATCCCACTGCCTCCTGTTCTTTCCCCAGGACTCCCCCGAGGCAGGCGGGGAGCGGGAGGAGGAGCAGGAGCGGGAGGAGGAGCAGGCCTTCCTGGTCAGCCTCTACAAGTTCATGAAGGAGCGACACACGCCCATCGAGAGGGTGCCCCATCTCGGCTTCAAGCAGAGTGCGTCCCTGGGGTGCAGGCAGGGAGGGGGGGCCCAGCAGGGGACCCCACCCAGGCAGGGCATCGGGGCAGGCACCTCCACTCTGGGTGACCCTGGACGCTGCCAGCCCACAGGGGTTGCACATAGAAAGGGTGCCCTGTCCCTCGCAGTGGCCCTGTCTGGGGGTGTGCTGGTTCTGTGCCTGCCTGACAGGGCCATGGGAACGGGCTGCTGGCTGCCCCTTCCTCCGGCAGAGACTGACGGGGCCCTGGCCTCTCTTTTCTCCAGTTAACCTGTGGAAAATCTACAAGGCAGTGGAGAAGCTGGGGGCCTATGAGATGGTAAGAAGGGCACCTGAGTCCTCACCACCTTGCATCTCCTGGCACATTCCCACTGCACCCCAGGGGGAGCTGGGGCAGAACGTGGGCCCAGCAGGGCTGTCCTTGCCTCCAGAGTGGAAGAGGCAGCAGGTCCCAGGTCCTGCCCCTTCCCCAGCGCTCCTGCATGCTGCGGGGAGGTGGAGGGGCCTGCTGTGCCGCTGGTACTTTGCTGGTCAAAGCAAGTTTTCCTCTCTTCCCCATCTGTTCTGTCCTCCCTGTGTCCGGTGCTCGGTGCTCAGTGCTCGGGAAGCTGCTTGGGCCAGCAGTCGGGCAGTGGCCCCTGGGAGGGAGAACTGGCTGGCGGCCAGGCGCGCCCCACCAGTCTCCCATTCCTGCGGCTGGAGGAGCAGCTGCAAGACTGCACTCCTGGCCCCCGTCCCTGCCAAGTGAGGACCCAGAGCTGCGAGGGCCCCCGGCCAGGGGTGCGGCTGGCTGTGCCCTCACGTGGTGCCCTTGCAGGTGACTGGCCGCCGCCTCTGGAAGAACGTGTACGACGAGCTGGGGGGCAGCCCAGGCAGCACCAGTGCAGCCACCTGCACGCGCCGCCACTACGAGAGGTATGGCTCGAGGCTGGGCCCCCTGGGTACGGGATGCCAGGGCCTGCACCCCCAGGGGCGGGCAGAGCGCATCTGGGCTGCGGGGAGAATATACTGATGGGAGGCAGGATGTGAGCTGCACGAGCTATGCGCACGCTGCAGGCGTCCTGCACGGGTCGGGAAGAGCGTGGGCCCCGGTGGTGTAGGTTGTCTGTGTACGCTGTCAGGCAGTGGTGTTCGTGGTTGGGGAGGAGCCAAAGGGGCTTGGAGGAGATGGGGTGGGCCTAGAGGGGCGGGAAGTGTGGAGCCGGCCTGCCAGCCCTGGCCTCCTGGTGGACATGCCCGCTCCTCCTCAGGCTGGTCCTCCCGTACGTGCGGCACCTGAAGGGGGAGGACGACAAGCCTCTGCCCCCGTCCAAGCCCAGGAAGCAATACAAGATGGCCAAGGAGACTCGGGGGGATGACGGGGCCGCTGAGAGGCCAAAGAAGGCCAAGGAGGAGAAGCGGGAGGATCAGGTGAGCTCTGAGCCTTGCTGGGGCCACCAGCTGGCCCTGGGCCTCCCTGTCCCCTGCCCCTCTCAGCTCCCCCACCTGTTGGTGTGGTGTTGCCGCAGAGCTCCCTGTCCAGAACACCCACAATGCGGTCTGAGGGCAGAACCTGTGGGGGGCTCCAGGGCCTCTGTGCTGGTTGTGCAAGTTGCTCCCTATTTGAGGGCCCTCAAACGAGGGCACATGTGGGGTCTGAACTCCAGTCTGCACCCCATTCACCAGGCCCCGTGTCCTAACACCAGGCTGTATACACTCAGAGGACGGGACACCTTTTGAAATTTTTGCACAAAGTCGCTGAAGAGGCTCCTAGGCCCTCCCTCCCCCCAGGACCCTGTTGTCACCAGGTCCCCAGGTCAGGATGCATAGCTCACACCCAGCCCTGAGGCATGGCCTTTCTCATTCTAGATGATGCCAGGCAAGACCAAAACAGATGCCGTGGACTTGGTGCGGCTTCCCAGCCAGGAACCCCTCAGGGACAGCACAGAACAGCCGGGCTCGGCCTCTGGGCCTTCTCTGCCCTTCGTGGGTACCAGCGGCTGCCCTGAGGCCTACAAGCGTCTCCTGTCCAGTTTCTACTGCAAAGGGACACATGGCATCATGTCACCACTGGCCAAAAAGAAGCTCCTGGCCCAGGTGAGCAAGGCAGAGGCCTTGCAGTGTCAGGAGGAGGGCTGTCGGCATGGGGCAGGTGGCCCTAACGGGGAGCCCCAGACGTCCCCAGCTCTTTGCCCCCCAGAGAGTCCCCAGAGCCCAGGAGGGCAGGCTGAGAACTCCAGGCACCGACTGACGCCTCAGGAGGAAATGCAAGCCCCTGGGGGCAGCCTCAGGGAGGAGACTCCGGTGGGTCCCCGCCCGGCAGCCCCCCTCTTCACTGGCTGTTTCCACGCCTACCCCACTGAGGTACTGAAGCCCATCAGCCAGCACCCCCGGGACTTCTTCCCCAGTCTTAAAGATGGGCTGCTATTGGGGCCCTCTGGCAAAGAAGAGGGGCTGCTGGTCAAAGAACCCCAGCTGGTGTGGGGCGGGGATGCCAACCGCCCCTCTGCATTCCACAAAGGCGGCTCCAGAAAGGGCAGCCTCTACCCTAAGCCTAAAGCCTGCTGGGTGTCCCCCATGGCCAAGGTCCCTGCCGAGACCCCCGTGGCCCTACCCACCTTCCCTAGCAGCCCAGGCCTCAGCAACAAGCGCAGCCTCGAGGAAGAGGGCTTTGCCTATGGTGGCAAAAAACTGCGGGCAGTGTCTCCCTTTCTTAAGGAGGCCGAAGCCAAGGAGTGTGGGGCCAAGTCTGTGGGGCCTGGCTTGGCCGTCTCCTGCCTGCTGGGCCCAGCCCTGGGTCCTGCCCTCCCAGAGGCCTACAGGGGCACCATGCTGCGCTGCCCACTGAACTTTGCCAGCACCTCCGACCCCTTAAAGGGCCAAGCTACCCTCCCCTTCAGCCCCCTGGTCATCCCGGCCTTCCCAGCCCACTTCCTGGCCACTACAGCCCCCTCACCCATGGCCGCTGGTCTGATGCACTTCCCCCCAGCATCTTTCGACAGTGCCCTCCGCCACAGACTTTGCCCGGCCTCGTCTGCGTGGCATGTGCCACCTGCCGCAAGCTATGCAGCACCCCACCTCTTCCACCTCAACACAAAGCTGTAGGTCAGAGCCCGCAGCGCTGTGCTGTGCTGTGGAGGGTCTGACGTGGCCCAAGATGGGTAGGCACTGCCAGGGGGCTCTGGGCTGGAGCTCTTCCCCCAGGAGAGCTTGGCTGTGTCTGATGGAGGCACATGCCCCTGGCTGGGCAGCCCGGTGCAAAGAGGGAGGCAGTGGGAAGACTGGGTTTGTCTTTCAAGGTAGCAGCCCGAGCCTGGGCACTGGAGGCCCAGTTGTGGCAGGGCCTTGGGAGAAGACGGTGCAGGGCTAGCAGCTCCCAGCAGAAGTCCTCAGAGCAGAGGCTGGGAATGGGCTGAGGGGCCAAGGAGCTGGATAGCTTGAGGCATCCAGGCTGCCCACAGAAAACCCAATAAAACAGCAATGTGAATCCACCCAGTCCTGAGGTGCGCGTGGTGTGGATCTTCGCAGGGCAGGCGGGGCCGCCAGTGGAGGGGCCAGGGGGGCCAAGGACCCACTCAGATCTGGAACGCAGCCACCCCACTGAAGAGCAGGACCCAGAGCAAAATGCAGCTTCCTGCTCATCTTTCAGCAGGCTGTGACAGTTGTCCTGTGCCTGCCGTCCACTTTCCTAGTCGAGCCTCAGGACAACTGCCTGTTACCTTGCTCATTGTACAGCCAGGAGCCTGAGACTCAGAGAGGGCCAGTAACTTGCCCAGGTTCCCCAGTTAAGTGGCAGAACTGCACTCTGAGTCCTAGCGAGAAGACCCCCTGCAGCTGCTAGCTGACGGCATGACCAGGAAGCCTGAATTGGTCCACCCTCGTGTGGCCGCAGACTTCCAGGGCCTGCTGGTTCCTCCTGGCGAGCCCCCCACCCTGCCCCCACTTGCCTGCCACGCACGCACGAGTGGGTCAGCAGGTCCCCTCTAGGGGCACCGAGAGTGAAAGGGCCAGAATCTCTGCCTGGGCATCTGTGTTGTTTCAGAGGTGCCTGCTCCAGGGTGCTCACTCAGAAACTCTGTAGCCTAGCCCTCCCCCACCCCGCTTCCTACAGGCTGTGACTGGGGAGCCATGCCCCTCCCCTGCTCTGTGCCTGCCTCAGTAGGAGGGGGCCCCATCAGAGGCAGGCCGCCTGCCTAGTTCACACGTGTTCCTGGAAAGGCAGTGCTGCTATTGACCTGGGTGGCAGGCATGGGGCAGGCCCCCAACTTCCTGCCTCGGGTTGATTGCTGGGTGGCCTTTAACCTGCACCATGGAACTTGCCCTGCTCTCTGGGATGCTAATGACCTCAGGCCTTGGGAGGGGCAATCTAGTGTGACACCGCCCCCCCCTCAGTTAACAGGTAAATGGGCTGAGGCCAGGGATGGGTCTTGTTTGCCCAAGGCCACCAACACATATGACAGAACCCACACCAGGGCGCACAACATGTCTGGCAGCAGGGGGTGGGCTGCCAGGGCTGAAGTCCATCTTGTCCAGCCTCCAACTCCAGGAGCTGCCTGTGGAGGGGGAGTTCAGACCGGCACCGGTGAGACAGCTGCCCTGGGGCCAGTGATGGGGTAATGGTCACCCCTGTTGTGAACACTCCAGTTTTGCAGGGGGATCTCCCAATTCCCTGCCTTCCTCCTCCCAGAAATGGCAGATGCCAGCCCAAGTAGCTGTGTGACTTCCAGCCCTGAGCTCGCACACATGCCCATGTGCTGCCTACTTCTCTGAGCCTCTGGGGTCTCAGTGGTTGACAGAGGGGTGAGAAGGCTGAATTCTGCCACCTCCACAAGAGCGTTGGGTGCTGGGCCACAGGTGATGGGGTAAGATCCCCTGAGTAAGGGTGAGGCCCGGGCTTCCTGTTGTGTGTGGGGTCCTGCCTGAGATGGGGCGTGGTCGTGGGAGTCCCCTGCATCTGCAAAGCCACAGTGGCTTTGCCCTGGCACAGAGGTAGGCAGGTGCACCTGGCAGCAGGACTTGGCACAGACCACTCAGAGCTGTGATGATGGCGCCCTCTGGAGGCTTCTCTAGGGAATACACCTTTCCTCGTGGAGCATCCATGTCCTGAGCGGGCCCATGGGCAGGATACCCTGGCCCCTGCTTGGGTGTCAGCAAACACCTAGGGTTTAATGTGAGCATGCCTCCTCGAACATCTCTGTGCCCTGTGTCCTGCAGCTCCAGTGTGCTAGCGTTGCATGATTTTTCTCACTCATCCTCACGATTCCCTGAGAAGGTACTGTCCCCATTTACAAATAAGCTGAAGAAACAGCTCTGAGATCCCGTAGCTTCAGCTGCCAGGATGCAGCTGACCAGGAGTGCCTCACTCGCTGGAAGGGCATCCTGCCATGCTTCCTGGGCTCTGCCCCCTTAAGTGGACAGGTGTGCTCCAGGTTGTCTTTCCTGTCCTGCTCGTTACTTCACATTGCCTGCTGTGTCCTGACAGTCCCTGACTGCCCTGGGGACCCACAGGCCAGCAGGACTGGCAGAGCATCTACGTTTGGGGCATAAACTGTTTCAAGGCCACTTACTTTCAGGACCCCTTTCAAACTGTGTTTGACCTGTTGATGGCGGCGGTGAGTGGAGGCAACTCTGGAAGGGATGTCCCCACAGTCCCAGCCCCTTTCCTGGTGACAGTTTAAGTAGAAGGCCGTGTGTTGCTCATTCGAGAGACACCGACTGTCTGCTCCCAGTGGGCGTCAGGCACTGTTCCAGGTGTTGGATGGACATGTCACTGAAGAAAACTTTCAAGTCCCTGCCCTCGTGAAGCTGATGTTCTGCAGGAGGAGGCAGGAAATAAATGGATAAAACAGAGGAAAATAGGGCTGGGAGTGGAGTGTGCAGTTTGTTTTTGTAGTAAAATAGAACTTAGCATAAAATTTACCGTCGTACCCATTTTTAAGTGTACGATGCAGTCGCGTTAAGGACATTCACAATGTTGGGCCACCATCACCACCATCCATTTCCAGAATGCACAGTTTAAATGGAGCGGCCAGAGAGGCGTCAATAGAAGGTGGCATCTGAGCACAGCTGGAGGAGGTGACAGAGGGAGCCATGCGCCTTCTCAGGGGGATAGCAGGGGGGAGTGTGTGTCTGAGGAAGTAGAAGGCCTACAAGGTGGGAGCAGAGTGACCGAGCAGGAAGGATGGCATGGCCACGGACTGAGGCTGTGTAGAGCCTTCCAGGCCGCTGGAGCAGTCCTTTTACTCAGAGTGAGACAGGAGCTGAGGAGGGTCTCTAGCTTGAACAAGAGCCGTGCGGCTCTGGGTGGGCCTAGATGCTGGGTGGGAGTAGGGGCCCATTCTCAGAGATGCAGAGGCAGCCTACCTGGGTGGAGGCCTGGGGTGAGTGGGGGTTGTGGGCGCCTCTGTCGAGTGATGTTTTGCTAGTGAGTGGAAGTGAGCAGGACCACCAGGGGTGGGGGCTTTGAGGTGAGGGAGAAGGGGGACTAGAGATCTCCAAGAGAGGGAGCAAGGCTATACCAGTCCATGCCCTGGGGTGCACCCAATTCCCGCCTGAGGTTAGTGGCAGGAGTTGTGGTGAGGCTGGGCCAGCTAGGTGCGGAGTTGGGGTGCATGAGAGGGGAGTCAGCGCCCATGGGAGCTGGGCCAGGAAAGTCAGGTGAGCAAGAGGGTGGTGCGGTGGTGCAAGAGAGTGACGACAGTGGTAGGCTTCAGAGTCGAAGTTGGGTGAGGGGGACATGGGGACGTGGAGGGTGGGAGAGAATATTGCTGGAGGAGAGGAAGTCAAGGGCCAGAGAGGCCAGCATGTGGGAAGCCTTGAAATCAGCACAGATAGGACGGCAGTGGTCTGGGGCAAGGGCTACAGTCAGCAAGGATCGGAGAGGAGGGCCTGGAGGGCCCATGGAGAACTGCAGCAGGGACACACGGCAGGGTCCAGTCTCACACTGTGACCTTCAAAGGGGGGAGCCACAGGGTCTGGAAGCAAGGGGTGGCTCAGCCCCCTCGGGATCACGTGGAGAATTGGCCCACACTGGAGGGGGCTTCAGGGGAGCACAGCTGCAGGGTGGCCGCGGGAGGTACTAGAAAGGGCAGTTGGGAAACCCCCCCCAGGTGAGCGAGGGATTTCCACTTAGGCTCAAGACCAGAGGTTGCAGACAGTGGCCTGAAGATGTGTTTAGTTTGACCCACTTAATTTTTTTTTTTTAAGATTTTATTTTTTTCCTTTTTCTCCCCAAAGCCCCCCGGTACACAGCTGTATATTCTTCGTTGTGGGTCCTTCTAGTTGTGGCAATGTGGGACGCTGCCTCAGCGTGGTTTGATGAGCAGTGTCATGTCCGCACCCAGGATTCGAACCAACGAAACACTGGGCCGCCTGCAGCGGAGCGCGCGAACCTAACCACTCGGCCACGGGGCCAGCCCCATGACCCACTTCATTTTTAAAAATGTAACTAGTTGCCAGCACTTAAAAGTCAAGAGATTTCACATAAAATTTTGGAAACAGGCTTCTCTTTAAAAATCAGAATTTCTGGCCACGAGGGACCACTTCCTGGAGCTCCGCAGTGGCTGCTGCCCTTGGACAGGGAATACCACCCATTCATTACTGTCCACCCAGCCGCGCCTGTCCCCAACCCTGAGGGAGCCAGCCCAGCCGGCAGCTGTCACCAGGTCTCCTGCAGACTCGGCGTCTCTGCTCTTCAGGCCGGAGTCCTGCCGCTACCCAGACGCTAGGCGGCAGCGCCTGTTCTTTGTTGTCATGAGAACAGCCAAGGCCAGTTTCCTAAACAAATGACTCCCAGAACATCGCTGCTGGAAAACTCACCAGGGCTTCTAGACAGGAGCGCAGGGCAGAGTCGGGTCACCGCCAAGGCACCTGTGCAGTGTCCCCTGGGTCACAGGCCAGCGAGAGCAGGTGGCAGTGGGCTGGACAGGGCACAAGCGTGGGTTGCCATCCTGCCCGACTCTAGAGGTATCAAAACCTTTTGCCTCTCCCTAGGCCACGTGTGTGCCTCTGCAAAGTGTCTGCAGTCACTTCCAGGTTCTGCCCCGTGACCCAGAATGAGACACAGATCGGGTCTAGTGACTGGCAAAGGGAGGGGACCTTCCCCCTGAACCCATTCCTGGTCCCTGTTCCCAGTTCTTCTGGGCCCCTGGCCACTCCCAGAAAGCCAATATCACCTACGCACAGCAAGTGGCAGCCACTGCCCAGCCTTGTTTGTGAGGCCCTCCGGGGAGGGAAGGGGCTGCTGGAGGGAGAGCAGGGAGATGGGGCTCCTGGGTGGGGTCTTAGAAGGGTGACTGCCTCCCATCCCCACCCCTGCAGGGCTCCTGTCTCCAGGTCCTTGGCTTGGTGCTTGGGATTCCTACCACCTGCTTGGCCTTGTCACCCTTCCCTTGAGGGAGCAGTGGGGTGGGGAAGAAAGATCAAGGAGCTGGAAGCCACAACGCAGGCCCTGAGACCGACCCACACACGAGTTCAGTGAGGGTTCTCAGGCCCTTCACTTGCAGGCAACAGCGCGAACTCGACCCAGGCAGGAACCAGCCTGTGTGGCTCAAAGAACAGCAGGGAGAGCTGACCGACCAGGCCTCTGGGGCACTGCCATCGGAGAGCTGCAGCTGGCTCCTACTGGCTCATCACTTCTCAACTCAGTGTTCAATGATGCCATGCTGTAGCTTGAACTAGGCCAAAGCACCAGTATTCACAGCCCCGGGAATGAGCAAATGCTACAAACCAGAGCCTCCCGGGTCCCTAGTCACCCCGCCTCCCCAAGCTGTGCTCCAGCATCCACCAGCACACCACCACCATCTGGCTCAGCTCCAGCTGCTTCCCTCCCAGTGGGTCTCAGCTCAAGGGTAAATTTTCAGGAGACAGAATCTGACCTTCTGTCTTGTGCTTACCTGTGGTCTCGAGGCACAGGCCTGTTACCCCAGAGGAAGCGAGTCAGCCAGGTAGACCAAAACAGTAGCTGCCACACTGGTGACCCCAGGTGGATTCGCTTCACTGGGCCTCCATTTCCACATCTATAATATGGAGGTGAGTAATTTCTACCTCAAGAGTTGTGGGCATTTAGTGAAAGTGCTTCGTAAACTAAAGTTCTGGACGAACGTGAATCATCACCTTTCCCGCAGTGCTTGGCCAGTCTGACCAGCCCTGCCCTGCCCTTCACCTCAGGGCTTTTGAAATTCCTGCTGTGTGCTGACCGCTGCTGTCCTGCCTGGCTTCTGACTCAGAGTCACCTGACCTTTGGATTCAGTCTGTTTCTGGGTCAAGACTGGCAAATTAGCTTCAGCCCAGGTAACAGCTCTGATTGATCGTGGTTGTCTGCAGCTTTGGGGTGACTCAGTATGAAAGTGATGCAATGGATTGGTAATGTCTGCCAAGGACTGGGACGGGGAGGACGCTCACCTGCCACAGAGTTGCCATCCCGTCTATGTATACAATGATGACTAGCTGTGACCACCTGATGATGGGCTGTCTAACTTAGGTCCCTGACCTCACAGCCACATCTCAGCCACAGGTCCTGTGCAGAGCTGTCTCGTCTCCCTCCCACGTGAGCACGGGTTGTGGGGGAGCAGGGCTTGGGAGCCGAATCCTAGAGGCCTGCATTGAACATGACTTGCTCATGAGCTACTGAGTTGAATGCCTGGGTAGTACTCAGGGAGCAGCTTCTTGGGAGAAATCTAGGTAGCCCACCCCCGCCCCCTGCGAGAAAAGGTCTTTCCACATGGGCTGTATGGAGAGGAATAATCTGTGATGGACACCAAGAGTAGAACAATTCTAGTGTCATGTGTAGAGCAACTGCAGTGGTTTTGAGATGCGGCCTGTGGCCTTGGGTACGGGGCATTAAAAGAATCATTCCAGATTCCAACTCTCATCAGCTCACTCCACTGCATAAACCTGGCCACGGCCTTCCACTGCCCTCAAAATAAAACCCCAAATGTCTTAGCTTGTTAGGCTCTTCACTGGCCCTCCCCGCTCCCAGGTGTCCCTGCCCCTCACAGCCTCTGTCTGGGCTAAGCCCTGAGGCACCACTTCAGCTCCCCAGCATGCCTGGCCCTCCTTTGGCTCTGGAAACACAGAAAACATCTACCTGAAAAATATTCTGTCCACTCTTCCTTCCAGCCTCACCTAGAAGTCTTCCTCCCGGAAAGTTACTGGCTCAGGGCCCACCCCATGAGCCCCCACAGCACCCAGTGCTTCTCCTGTCCTGCCACTGCCGGAACTGTTACGAGTCTGCACCCTGCGCGCAGACTGTAGGCCCCCTGAGGGCAGTCAGTGTGTCGTGTTCACTGCCAATCCCCAATTCTACTTAGCCCCATAGGACAGGTGTCCAGACTCACTCTTTCCATTTTTTTACCCCGATTATTATGGTACATGTGCCCATTGGCCAACATAAGAGCACCACCCTCAGAGTTCCCCAGCTGCCTCTGAGTTGTCCCCAGAGGGCTCCTGCATGTTCAGGAGCCATCCCAGGTTATTTCTGGAGAACTGGAGAACTGTTCCTCACACCACCAGCCCAAAATGCTGGTGGCCCTGGAGAAGAGCAGCTCTTCCCAGCAGTGGCCTCGGCTAATTCCCCACCCAGCTTTGGAGTAGGGATAGGACCCCCCTTGACTACTGCTTCAGAAATATGGGCCAAACTCCATCCTCTTCCCCCTATACACACACACACACACAGAGTTGAGACAAGGCAGGGACAGTAACAAGATTTTATTAAAGTTTTAGGAAAAACAGAAGAGAGGCACAACAAAGACACAACCCATAACTGCTTCCTGAAGTTGCTACTCAGCTCAACCCCCAGGGCAGGTGCCGCACCCAGTTCCGTGCGTGGCTCTGCATCAGGACCAGACCTCCAGCCG